AATATAATTAAATATAAAAAAATATATTAAATATTTAAATTAATTATTTAAAAAAGCTTTTAAAAAAAAAAAATAATTTTTTATAATTTAATTAAACTATTTATTATTAAATTATTTTAATTTTAATTTAAAGGGGTAGATTTTAATTGTTATTATAAATGGGGGGGTATTGCAAAAGTGGGTCGATGCGGTTAGTATATAATGTAAAATGAAATGGCAAGGGAAAGAGAATAGGGGGTAAATGAAAGGTAGGTAGTGTCAGAGCAATGAAAGGCCAAAAGAAAAAAAAATAAAAAGAATGAAGAATTGCCGAGAGCCGGATTCGAACCGGCGACCTCCAGTCCAGCGGCGGCTGGAATTCACTAAATCTCCCTCGCTGTGCGGGCATCCACGTTCTTCCATGGTGCCTAGCATCCGCGGTTTGGGGGGATCTAGTGCATACCGCCAGACCTGCTGTCCCGGTATCATACCACTAGACCACCTCAGCTTTTCTAATGAATTGTTGAAATGGGTACTGCACCTTTGTCTTATAACCCATTCACTGGGCCGGTGGTACTTAGGGATGGCGGGGTCCTTGCTCTGGGATATCGGAATAATGTAGATGGCTTAAGTTGCCTAGCAACGCCAGGACATGTCATGGGTATCGCAGCTGCAGATCTTAGTGCACTTCGACGCTTGTATTGGGCACGGAGGCAACCTGTGTAGATCTCAGCTTCCGGCTGATGGTCCAGTTCTGAACTCCCGTGATGTCCGTATTGTTCGAAGATCTAGAAACCCTCTTCAACGCCTAAAGTCAAACCCATTAGCTTTACAAGGTAGGTAAGTAGGTAGTCAAGTGAGTTACAAAAACACTTCATTCATAGCACTATGGAGAGATAGAATATGAGCTTAACACACATTTTATGTCATTTTGCTATCTAGGAGGTAGGTACATAGATCCCTGGACATAATGTTTTCGATAAATCAGCCCGATATTAAACGAAGTAAGGTGTAAAACAAGAACAAAACCATTTCTCTTCCTTCTCCCTGTGGTTTTTCTTTCCGAACAATACCAGGATATCAGTCCCAACTTGATTACAAACCTGATACAGCAGTCAATACAAGCATCATAACTCACCGCAACGTGCGCCCCCACGGGCTTTGAGAGGGTGAAGAAGCGCATTATATCGTTGCCCTCCGCAGACACAACGGCCACGGCGCCAGGATGGATCCTGCTAGCCACCATACGCGCACACTCCAGTAGGCCGTAAAGACCCTGCTGTGTAATTTCTTCGCCGTAGGCCCTACGCTGCCATTCCCTAAGCCACGGGAGGGTGTCTTCCGGAGTACAGCGGAAATACGTTATTGGGACATAAGATTCACCCATACCAGTGTTGGTTTGGGGTTGGTATTGTGGTGCTCGGAGGCTATGGGAGCACTTCACGAGTCGTTCCGCTGACGATAGACTCTTGAACGCACCACTCGGGTCAGCTCCAACTATCTTGCTAATTACTGTCAATCGAACATCTAATCAGAGAGCACACCAATTCTCTATAACGAGGATCACGCACTTCCTTGCAGTATTCGAATGCCACTGAGCCCAACTGAATTCCGAAATCACTTGGTTCAGGCTCAATTCGTGAGTCCGACGACCCTACTATAGGACTGACGATGAGATCCATGCCACATGTGATTCCGGCGCCAGCAGAGTCTAAACTAACTTTCGATGTTCTCGGGGATTTCGCATGGGAATGTGATACCGGGCCATACTGCCTGTCCGGCGAAGCACGAGATAATTGTCTCTTCCTCCTCTCTTTCCGGGCCTTCTTCTTCCGGCTCCCCAGCCGGTATTCTGCAGATACGATGCCATTCCAGTACATCGCAGCACGCCTCTTTTAAATCGAAGATCTTTGTTATAGCTGGGATAATCGTGCCAGGCTTACGCTGCCGGGACGAGACCTTGTAACAGCAAGATCCAGGGAGAGCCTAAACTCGCTCTCAGGCAATGTCCTGAACTATGCGCATATTGCATTGTGGAGCATTGCACGCACATTAGAAGCGTATGGCAAGCCGTATAATGCAAGTACGTGTCATAAATATACCCAACTTTTATCAGATAGACTTAATCATGAGGCCAACCCTATCTGACTAGCACGCATATCAAATCTTTCTATAGCTACATCAATCACACAGAGAATGATTTCTATGATTTACCTTCCTCCTTATTTTCCCTTTTAGCTAACAAAGGCGCATGACGTAGTCCCCGATAGTAATTTGGTCATCGAGCTTGGAGAGTTAGGATCAACAATAGAAAAGGGAAGAGGGGAAAGATGAACGGAGGGTAAACCTCGGGCGAATCCCCAGGTGCTGGTTAATTCACAAGAAACTATCGTTCTGGCGGTCGGTTCTTGACCGAAATAGCATTCCACTGTCCAACACCTTCACCATTTGGTGAGAGCTGCAGGACTCAGACCTGTGCGGTTTTCCTTTGGGACATCTAGAATAGGGGCTTTTTGATTACATAATCATAGTCCCGTCCAGCAGTACCGCTTATTCTAGAACTTCGACTTTGCTCTTATAATTAATGCCAATCTATTCTTAACACTATCCAGGTACCTGGGTATTTCTTTAGAGAGGATATGTCTAACTCAGGCGACGACGCCATAATGATGGCACCGCGCCTATGCATATCTCCACAATGCAGACTTTGCGGGTTCGACTTCGAACCAGGCGAGCTGCTTCTTGCAAGCAAGTAACTCAAATGCGTCTCCAGAGGAAATACTAACAGTCCTAGGCACGAAGACAGGTCGCACAGGCGAGCTCTCCCACGGCCAGTCTATCTACGACGTGCCTTTGCGTGTTTGGCTAGATCCATGTGAGGGACTCTGTGAGCATGGCGAGGGTCAGGCCATCGGCTGCCATTCGAAATGTGTAACGTTCCTGTCGTTTTTCCCTCCCCGGCCTTTGCTCGAAGCGCTGGCATTCTCGTATCAGCTCTTACTTGGTGCTAAGGTCGAACGGCAAAGGAGGATCAGTTGGGTCATCCAGGAAGCATTACTGAAGTCGCAAGAGGCAAAGTTGAGGTTGCCTGCTGAAGTCTGGTTAGAGATAGCAGCGTTACTCACCAGGGAGTACGTTGTAGCCACGGTACGGGACGCTTGGCTGACCCGGTGCTCCGCAGATTGTCGTGTCACTCTCTCTGCTGGCGTATGGGCTCGCTATGTCTCAATCGGGGGAGTTGATTACATTGCGGACCTGACAAGTACGCCGGTCAACGGTCATGGCTATAAACAAATCTTTGATGCCAAGAGCCCCTTACCAATTGACCAACTCTACGTATCAGAAGACCATTTAGGCACAAGGCAGATCTTCTTTTCTCGTACCGAAGACCCAGCAAGTTGACCTAACTATGTCAAAAGGCGCAAACTCAAGCTAACTTTACCAGATCCCTCCACAACTCCCCAAGCCGCCTATATCCGGTCACCACAGGCAGGAGAGTTGGTGGCGGACCATTAAACCCTCTTCTGATATAATACAGGCAAAGTCAGACGTAGGTTGCTTCGGTCCATCCATAGTCATGCATGCGTTCTAACCCTCTGCAAGGGCCTTAAGATACGGCGCATCGGTTATGATACTCCACTTGAGTCCGTGCTTTGGGCCGCACCTATGCCCTCTTGCGACGCTCAATCTCTGTATTATCACAGCCTTGCACCCTCAAGTACTGATATGACCGATAGTCTTTACCGGCTGACGTCTTTCCCATGTAACGACCACGGAAACACTGGATATTCGGCTTATTGGAATGGTCGTCTCATGGCACTTTATGCTCATCGAAAAGATGGCACTATGCCCTCGTATGGCGGGATCGACGAGAATTATAAATATGATGTTTGGCTTTACATGCCTCTCAATGACGACGAGTGGATCTGCGATATTTGGAAACGAGGGGGTAGTCACTACCACTGTACCGCATTGCTGGTAAGAAGACTCGCCCATCTCACGGGGTGTCGTTGGCTGATGATCATCGTAGCTGAAAACCAATCAAGACCGGGTAGCCGTCCTAGGGCCACACGCAGTATTGCGCGACTTTTCGCCTACCTGGAGTCACATAGCACGGCCATCGAACGCCCCGACCCCTATTTACTTCAACATCTCTCCTCGCTCCATTCACTGGCTAGCCCTCGGACAGGGTCCAGATGACAGTACACCCTTCCCAGAAATAAACTTAACGCCCCCGCCCTGTCGCATTGCGTCCTTCGACCTTTTCTTGACATCGGCAGTCCTCGATGACGTTGTAGAGATCATTCCTTGCCGGCAGAAGCTGGCGACCCATTCACCAATCATCGGCCTACTGCTCCACTACGGCAATGGGAACCGGGCTTGTCTCGGACAGTTTCGATTCGACTGCGTGGGCACTCCTGTAGTAGTCGACCAGACTCAAAAGCTGCGTTTGGGGTTCGCTCGAGAGTCATCAAGGTACCCGTACGTGGCGAAGATGGCCTTCCATCCGGCAGGTCAAGAGGTAGGTTACGAATGGATTGAGTTGTCTTGGAGGGGACGAGTAGACTGGTGGTTCTCGAGTAGAAACTGCCAGGTCTTTTACGACGGTCAAGCGAGCTTCCCGTTATTTCAGCGTTATAACTGGATGAAAGTGCCTTAACTAGTGGTTTCAAAAGGAATACCTACCTTGCTAACCAGATAGGTAACCTACCTAGGTTAAGTGAGTAATTATTCCTCAAAAGAAATCATGTTACTATTGAAAAGCACTTGACCCTTCAAAGTCCCATTTCTTGTAAATACCTTTTCCCATCAAAGAAAATACTGTTATAGTACATATCGCCATCGACCCTGGAACATGAATTATCATCTCATCGTCAGTTTCGAATCCTCATGCTTATATAGTCACGTTCCACAACACCTAGCTACCCATCTAGCTCCAGATATTCTCACGGAAAAAGATAGGAATCAAGACGTCAAAAATACCTACCACCCCTCCCCAACTTCATCTCGCGTAAAACACATCACACTTATCAATCCAGCCACATAAATGATTATAGAAGTCAATTCGCAGAAATAGCTCATTCAATATTGGTATCGGCCCCCCTTTATTTCCCCCCTTCCCCTTTCCGAACCCTAGTGGAACAAAAGCCCTGTACAGAAACGAAGCAGAGGTATACCGGACTGGGGACCGTTAAAAAGAAAAGAAAAAAAGAAGAATGCAACGCCTATCTAATGCAAAAGTATGTAATAGTTGCGCATCCGAAAAATTGCGTGGGCCTGACGGGGAAGTCTGTGTGACAACGGCTGCAATTCCGCCTACTGGTACATCGGGAGGGAAAGACTTAACAGAGATTTCCTCTCCTGCCACCTAAACCATAAAAACAACGCCTCTATATCTCGTGATGCATAACTGATCCCCTCTCCTCGTAGCACGCCTACTTCCTGCTCGCTGCGGTGAATAATAACAGGCAAAGATGCCATCCTTTTACACCAATTAGGCTTATGGAA